TACGAATGTTTCCCAACCTATAAACATTTAATATATCCCCATCCTATATATAATGCACATATAAGGTGTGTTTAAGAAGTTATATACGGGCCCGGCGCGGTGGCGCAGTGGTTAAAGGTCCTCGCCTTGCACGCCCGGGATCCCATATGGGTGCCAGTTCTAATCCCGGCAGCCCCGCTTCCCTTCCAGCTCCCTGCCTGTGGCCCGGGAAAGCAGTCGAGGACAGACCAAAGCTTTGGGAACCTGCACCCGCGTGGGAGACCCGGAAGAGGCTCCTGGCTTCGGACCGGCGTAGTATCGGCCGTTGTGCTCACTTGGGGAGTGAATCATCGGACGAAAGATCTTCCTCTCTGTCTCTCCTCTCTGTATATCCGCCTTTCCAATAAAAAATAATAATAAAAATAAATCTTTTAAAAAAAAGTTATATACAAGTTCTATATAGGGTTAAAGTTACCCTTGAGATTTCTGCATCCTGGGTTTGAGGAGCAGCTTTGCTCCCAGTTCTACCTTCCCACTAAGGCACAGCCTCGACTGAATTCCTTGTTCGGACTTTGGCCTGACCCGAGCTAGTATTTTAGGCATGTAATGAGTGAACAGTACACAGGAACACTCTATCCCCACAGCCCATATCTCTCTCTCTCTCTCTCTCTCTCTCTCTTTCTCTCTCTCTCTCTTTCTCTCTCATTCTCTTTCTCTGTGTGTTTGTGTGTCTTTCAAATCAGGGGAAAAATGAACATTCGGGTAAAATATTAAGTTATATAACACTAACACAATTTGTGAGCCAGAACTTTTTAAAAAGTCTTCATTTTTTTTTAATTTGCAGCTATTTTCAGCAATGGGGTTCATTTTGCCTGCACTGGTTAAACATCCTGGTAGTTCCTTTATTTAACAGAGTGACTTGGATAGTACAGTTTTTGTTTTTTGTTTTTGTTTTTGTATTTTGGTCTTCTTTCATTTGTGAGACATGAATAAAATCAAGAACTTCAAATATCAAAGCATATATCAGATAAAATCTTTCCCAGGTTCCCAGCATCTGCAGATGAGAAAAGACAGCCAGAACTAGGTAGCTTCGCTTCCCCTCCAGCATCCTAGTTCTCTTCTCGTTCCTACGAAGCGCTGAAGTGGTCAGGAGGAAATCTCTCACCTGCCAGTGTCTATGCTGGGCTTTCTGCTCTCCTAGACTAATTACTGGTGACACTTGCTCTTGGTTCCATAGGATCTATCAGAGAGGGTGTTTTGAGACCTCAGTAACCTTGTCCTTGCTGATGTGTCTGTCCTCCAGCTGGCTACTTCCCCTTCTCTTGTTTTCGTAGAAATCCAGTAGTTCTCCTTCAGGTTCTTTAGGTCCCCATATCACACAGGATCTAAGACAACCCAGCACAGCCCTATCATCTGTGGGTCACCCAGTACCCATGGGAAAGATGGGAGTATAACAGATGGGCAATGCTGGCTGATCTCAGTGCTGCTACAGATGCCTGCTCCTCCTCCAGGCAGGTGTCACACCACTGGGTGCCACCACCTCTGCACCTCTCTGCTGTTCTCAGAGAAGCTCTACCTTCTGTTGAGCTGTGTTAGGGAGAGCTCCCCTCACACCTCTCCTGGAAGAAGTCCTGCTGTGCACAAAACGAAAATTCCATCTCTTTGTCTGACCTTCCATGTGGCTGAAAGGTTTAGATGTTGATTTATGTGTCTTCTATCACCCTTTTTACAAATTTTCCAGGGTGGTCTATTTCCAGTTCACTTCAGTATCTTATATCTTTCATCTTTAGATCTCAGCCAAAATGTCCATTTTCACGTTCCGTCATGTGCCTCATCCTTAAGTCTGTCCATTCAGTAGACATTCCCTGAGTGCAAACAACCTGCCAGATGCTGAGTTTGGCACCAAAAATAATCACAACAATTTTTGCCTTATGGGGCTCACATTCAAATTGAGGAAACCGATGTGTTAACACAAAATGGCGGTGCTATGTCATAAATGCTGTGATGGAGGGAAACCCAGGTTGCTGTGTGAGCAAAAGACTCTGTCTGGGTTGTGGGTGGGATTGGGAGGGTGGAAGCAGAAATATCTTCAGCAATAGCCTTCCCAGGCAGTTGATAAATCTCTGGCCCAAGTTTAACTATCAAGTGAGTAATTTTTAAGAAGCGAAATAACCTCTATTTAAACCTTCTGTTGCTGGTGTTTGTTTCTCAGTAATTTATTTTTGAAACAAACAAAGGTAATGAGAAGAAAGGAAAGGAGAATTCCCTGGTGTCTGCCATTTGTCCACACATCTGTTACAAAGAAGAAAATAACATTTCTGGAGTCCCTTCCTTAATTCAAGTTTCCTGGCTCCCACCCAAAAGGCAATAATCCTCAAACACTGGCTGTCTCAGCCCAGCAAGGCAGGGCACTCCCCACAGGCATTTGCAAGATTCAGAGTGGAAGGCCAGAGATATAGTCCCCTCTGGAAGCATAAGTCATGGACCAAGCAAGGACAAAATGAGGATGGGGAGCAAAGCTGACCGTGGTAATTGCTGAGAGCCTTCTAAGAAGACAAACTTGCTTTAAGGGAATTGACCTTTGGTTTGTAGGAATGTGCATATGGTACAGTAGTTGTCAGCCCGGGTCTCAGTGCCTGGTTTTGAGCTCCAGATCTGTTCCTATTCCAGCTTCCTGCTAATGTGCACTGCAGGAGACATGATAGTTCAAGGATCTGGGTCCCTGCCACCCACACTGGGAGATCCAGATTGAGTTCTGGGCCAGATAGCTAATGTAAGCATTTGAGGGATGAGCCAATAGGTAAGTGATATACCTTCTGACTGTCTGTCTGTCTGTCTCTCTCTGTCTGTCTCTCTCTTTAAACAAAAGAAGGTAGCATGTGAAAGGAAGTGTTCTGCCGCATGTTTGGGTAAGCAAAGCCCTTCATATACCCCTGCGTGGAGCAGCAGCCACCCACAAAGCTGTGTTGCCTGCTCACCTTGGCAGTAAAGGCCTCTCCACAAAGCCCCTGTTAATTTTGGCCCTTTCTCCCTGGTTTCCCAGCCAACAGGATTCCACATGTCTTTCCTACATCAGCCTGCTGTTTCCTCCTGCTGTCAATGTTCTGGTGACTCTAAGTGTATCTGGTCTCCCAGGCAGTACTTTCTCCTCTGTGGAGGACTGAGAAAATAGATCTTTCGTTGAGAATGTTCATGCTCTCCTGGGGGAAGAATCAATCCTGACAAGATTGGAAATTTGTATATATGACAGTAAATTAAAGTTACCAGGTTTCTTAACCTTTCAGTAACTACTGAAAAGAAGGTACCCACCTCCAGCATCACACTTAGGTATCTCATTCTATTTTGGCTTTGGTAAATGTCAGTTCCAGTCTATGATGAGAAAACCATACATGTTGAGTGTTATGCTCAGCACACAAAAGAGACTTGAAGGTTTTGGAATATTCTAGATGCTGAGACTTGGTTGTTAACAAAGCCCTGCTCCTTATGTGGCTTGGATTCCAGCTGAGGGAAGTAGAAAAAAGCAGGAATTGAACATATAAACCAGCCTTTGGCATGCCAGTCGTCATCAATGACCTAAAGGCCCATCAGTTAGTCACAATGAAGTGGCTGGAAGGACACTGGGATATGTTTTTTTTTTTAAAGATTTATTTATTTTTATTACAAAACCAGATATACAGAGAGGAGAGACAGAGAGGAGAGACAGAGAGGAAGATCTTCCGTCCAATGATTCACTCCCTAAGTGAGCACAACAGCCTGTGCTGTGCTGATCTGGAGCCAGGAGCCAGAAACTTCTTTCCGGGTCTCCAACAGGGGTGTAGGGTCCCAAGGCTTTCGGCTGTCCTCAACTGCCTTCCCAGCCACAAGCAGGGAGCTGGATGGGAAGTAGAGCTGCCAGGTTCAGAACCGGCGCCCATATGGGATCCTGGCGCGCTCAAGGCTAGGATTTTAGCCTTTAGGCCACTGCACCGGGCCCTGGGATATGTTTTGAAGATGCTCAAGTTGCTCTAACCTTCTGTGTGTTAGTCATCTTTCTATGTTTTCCTCCCTTTCTAGTATGTGAGTTTCACTAAAGGAACTAGCATGTCTTATGCAAATCAGTATTTCTAGTATACTATCTGGGACGTGGTGAGTAATTCATAAAGTGTGGTGGAATTGGAAGCTGTACACAGAAAACCCTAGAATAGCCACCTCTTTAAAGTTCAACACATGTTTGCAAGCTAGGGCTTATTTGATGGAGCCTTTTTTTGTGCTATTGCTTACAGTTTCCCTGCAGTCAGGTCTTCTGGGTGCCAAAGTTTGGGTTTACTTCATTGCCCTTAACTTTTCTCTCTCTTTCACCACTTTGGAGGACTGCCCAAAGAAATTTTACCCTTCTGTGGATGTAATAATGGAACCACTGCTAACTGTGGCTGATGTTGTCACATACGCTGTGGCACATCTACCCAGATGCTGCAATATATCATCCGTGCGTGTGTGTGTGTGTGTGTGTGTGTGTGTGTGTGTGTGTAAGAGAGAGAGAGAGAGAGAGAGACTGGAATGTCCTGAAGCCACAAACAAGAAGGTGAATTAGACCCAGGCCAGAGTCTCTGATTTTTATTCAGAACTCAGGGATTGCTGCTAAAAGAGCTGAAGGCAAATTGAAGAAGTCTCAACTATTCTGTCTCGATTACAAGTGTGAAGTTGGCTACATCTAGTCATAGTCTCTAGTTAGTGTATTCATTGGCTGATTGTACAGAGGGGAAATAGCTGCTCACACTGATCCCTAGAGTCCATTACTCAGACCTTTGGGTTCTTTATTCCCTGGAATCTCATCACAGAGGTCTTTATTAGCCTAGGATTTGAGATCATGTATGTGACTGTAAATATTCAGTGTGTTTTATTCTTCATGTCCCAGTTGAAAAACATTGTATGCCCACTTTTAAAGGGAAGTAAATTCTAATTAGGGCATCCTTCCCTGTGATGAACCTCACTGTGGCCCTAAGCTTTCCAACTCAGTCCTCTGCATGTTTTCTGTTTTACAGGAGGCAATGGCCAGAATGAGCAAAGTTGGAAAAGTCGTGTTTCCAAGACATGAGGATAAAAAGTAAGTTTATTTTTTCATATACACTTTACAAAGGAATGAGAACATACAACACATGCAATTGCAAATCTGGAGTAGATTTTACAAGCGAATCCCTCCAGTCCTTTCGTGTAATACTTGAGCAAACTAGGTTTTAGAGAGCTAAAGTCCCTTCAGTTACCTAAAGATTGTGCAGGGATAGAACCCCATCAGAAGAGCCAGAGGTCAAATGCAAACTGAATTCCCACATCAGTACCCACCCCCCACTCCACCCCCAGCTCTCACACAGCAAATCTGTTCTTCTCCATTCTAAAATGGGATTTTTTCATGTCTCCTTCCAAAGGACCGGGTAACCTCTGTCCCTTCTTTCACCTTTGGCCACATTTGGCATTGAGAGCCAGAAAAGGAATGTGGGCAATGATTTAATCCCAGTTGGACCAAATATTTTTGAGCCTCTGCTATATTCAAGGAATTATGCTGCGCACAAGGTAGGATTTAGAGGAGAATATGATAGTCTCTTTTATCCACATCAATCATTTCAGAACAGGATACACTATATAAGAGAAATATTATCAGGTGAGAAAATAGCTCAGAAAAGAAATGTGACAATGTAAGGTAAGGTAAAACTTTTTTGAATGGAGGAAAAGTCTAATGGACTTTAAGACATTATTTATTTGATAAGCAGAGAGAACAATGGATGGAAGGAGAAACACACAAAGACCCCAACTGCTGGTTCAGTCCTTCAAGGCTCACCGCAGTGCCAGCTGAGAGTCAAAGCTCGGAGGTGGGAACTCAGTCCAGTTTCACAGAGTGGGTGGCAGAAACCCCATTACTTGAGCCATCACCACAGCACCCCCACCCCAGAATCTGCATTAGCAGGAAATGAGAGTTAGGGTCATGTGGGGACCACCAACCCCAGATACTCTGATGGGGACTTGGGCCAAACCCCAGCCTCCTAGATGACTATGAATGTTTTAAAGTAAAGTGCTAGACAGACGAAGGTAGGTAAGAACTAAAAGTGAGCATGGTTTATTGAGTTAAACACTAACAACTCATGGTTTTGAAGCACAGAGTATGATATGGAGAAGGGCAGGAAGTGGCACGGGGTAGGGTGGCCGGGAAGGATGAGGTCGGCTCCTCAAGGGTTTGGAGACCATGCTCAAGAGGCTCAAACCTTCTCCTCCAGGCTAGACAGTGAATCTGAAGTAGTGGTGAGACTTGCTGAAGTACAGTTCACATGCAGATGTTAGAAGGATCTTTTGAAGAGCCAATTTAAAATGGCTAAGGGTAGAAGTAGACCACATTGAAAGCTTTTAAAAATAATACTAAACTGAGGAAGTGGGGAAGAGTAGAAGTTGCCCCTATGAAGTCACTCGTAGTGACTTTTAAGATGAAGTAAATGATTTAAAATTTTTAGGAAAGTACCAGAGTACTGCAGAAAGCCCATGGAAGAATGAAATTAGATTAGTTTGTTTTGGTACATTAAAAAAAAAAAATCTATGTACAGTTTTTCACAATACATGTTTCCACTCAGGTTTTGAAGCACACTCATACTTTAGGTTTTAGGACACAAAAAGAAATTTTACTTCACACTTGACAGGCAAAGGTGCTAAGACCTTGGAACATCACTGGTTTTTAACAGAGTTGGAAATTCTCCAGAAAAATGTCATGCAATTTCTTTGCATTTTCTTTTGTTGTTGTTTCTGATGTCTTTTTAGATTTTGAAGTTTGTGTAAAGGGAACAGATTTCATGTGTTTCATATATACAGCTTTAAGAGCATGTTAATACCCCCACCCTACCCTGACACCCACCCACACTCCTCCTTCCTTTCCATTTTTCTTTTAATTTTTACAGTGTGGTTTTTTTTTTTTCCCCAAATGCACTCAGGCTGTGGCCCTTCTGAGTGGATCCCTCTTTAAAATCAGAGGTCAAAGGAATGGGTCCTTGCCCCAGGGAGCTCAGCTTAGGAGCATGGAGAGCCCAGAGTTTTTATGCGCACTAGAAGCCCCAGGCTGCCACCCTGCTCTGTTTCCTGAGGGACACTGATGAGTCCCTCTCCTTCTTTTTCTTCTTTTTTGAAATAAGAAACAGATGATACTTCTCTATGGCTTCCCTCTCCCTCCCTAGACTTTTGAGGGAAGGTTGTTTTGAAGTTCTTTCAGTAAACTCCATGTGTTCTTTTTGGAAAGCATCCTTGGCTTCTGGCTGGCAGCTGGCAGCTGGCAGCTGTGCTTTGGGAAGAGTCAGACACACACAGTGCGATATCGCCATCTGCAGGTGGAACACGGCATTGCAAGTAGAAACAGCCAGCCAGTTTCGTTTCCAGTTCTTTTCTCACATCTCGTTGCTTCGAATCCCATCATTAACTGTACAAGACATCTACTTGGGTCTGTGCCACACAGAAGCGGATGCAGAGATGGAGAGAATTTGGAAGAGAAGGGCTGTGGCACATTTAAAACAGTTAGGGTCATGGAAAGCTTAATCTCGTGACTGTAGTTCCATAAGCAAATTTTTAGGATGATCTCAAACCTTGACATTATGTCTACACCAGATTTAGATAGTTCTAGAAACATCACTTTTGTGGAACATTTATGCATTAAAACATTGGTGATAAAGTAAAGTGGCAGACTATAGAAGGAAGTGCAAATCATCAGTCTGCTAAAGGATTAATCAGAATATATAGAGAATTCTTAAATCTCAACAGCAACAGAAAAACAGACAATTCAAAACTCGCCAAGAACTTCAACCAGTGATTCTCCAGAAAGGACATACAAGTGGCCAAGAAGCACTTGAGAATATATTTGATATCATGAATTGTGAGAGAAATTTAAATCAGCAACACCAGCTAACATCTCATATGAATTAGGACAGCTGCAACACAGTCACTTGTGTTGGCATGGCTATGAGAGACTGGAGCCCCTGGGCACTGTGGTTGAACATGTGGAATGATACAGATGCTATATGAAACAGGGTGGCAATTCCTCAAAACACTAAGAACGGAATCAACATATGACCCTATATGCAGCCTCCCGGCCCCAAGTGAAAGAAGCTCATTGAAAAAAAGATTTGTATTCCATGTTCAGAGTGGCATGATTCACAAAGATAAAACCATAAGAACAGTCTAATCTTTATAAATGGATGCAAATATAAGCAAATAATAATAAAATGCATATGATAGAACATTATCTAGTCTTACAAAGGAAGGAAATTGGGCCTGATGTGGTAGCGTAGTGGCTAAAGTCCTCGCCTTGCACACACCAGGATCCCATATGGGTGCTGGTTTTAATCTTGGCAGCCCTGCTTTCCATCCAGCTCCCTACTTGTGGCCTGGGAAAGCAGTCAAGGGCAGCCCAAAGCCTTGGGCACCTGCTCGTTCATGGAAGACCTGGAAGAGGCTCCTGGCTCCTGGCTTCGGATCGGCATAGCTCTGACTGTTGGGGCTGCTTGGGTAGTGAGAGAGCAGATGGAAGGTCTTCTCTGTCTTTTCTCTTCTCTGTATATCTGCCTTCCCAATAAAAATAAATAAATCTTTTTTAAAAAAAAAACAAAGGAAGGAAATTCCAACAACACGGATGCCACTTATAATGAATAAGCTAACTGCAGAATCAGGAAGATGCCCCTGTGATCTCACTCACAGGTAAGATCAGCAGTGAACACAGCGGCAGCAAAGCGGTCGATGTTGAAGTTGGAATTGTTGAAGTGTGTGAGAAGCAGTCCTGACCCTTCCTTGCTGGAAGGTTTCCGATTCCATATCAAGAAGTTGATCGTACAGAGTGAAAGGATTCTTTAGCATTATATTGCCTTAGAATTGACATTAGAAAGAGACAGTCAACCCTAAATGTAATAAATGCACAGGCATAAAAAGTGGGTTTTAGCAGTACCTGTATATGAAGGGAACTCAAAAGGCTTGTTGAAAATTGAAAAGATACTCATTTTAGTGTCAGAAAATGTGGAAATCAGCACATAGTTTTCTCATTAGTATGCATTTCCACAAAATTCTGAAAAGCCTTCATATGTGCAGATTTCAAATTTTTATATCAGATTAAAAAATCTTTCATAAAATTTTGAACACCTTTGTTGTGTATTATTTATTACATAATAGGTACTTATAATTGAGCACAGTTCCAAGTATCTTCCACATGTTTAATTCATGTAACAGCTTTCACCAGGAAGATCTGGTAGTCGTCTTCATTTACAGATGAGGAAATTCATACACAGATTGATTAAGTCCGTGTTCAAGGTCACACAACTTGTCTAGGGCCCGGCTAGTCTTCAGAGTCAGGCGTCAGAGTCTACCTCTCAGCCTTGTGTCTGACCCCGTAATATCTCTTAAGTAACCAGACTACCTACAGTAGACTGTTGAGAGGCTGACCCCTGTGGCCATGGCTCTGAGTGAGAGGTTCTGTGTGCACACAGATAGATCACTCCTTCAACCTCCCTTTCCTGCCCACAAACCTGTATGAAAGCTCCTTCATGAGGATTGCTTTTCAGAGCATCCTGGAATCTGCTAAGACAGGTAAAACTAGCCTCATCAAGCCCGCTCCCTCAGCCCAGCAGTACTAGGGGAAAGCTGCAAGCCTGCCATGTCCTTTGTCCAGGTTGTTTGTGAGCCCCTTCAAGAGTGTGATGCCTAAGCAGCTCTGGTGGCTCTGCTCTTTGATCCATGACCAATACCAGGTTCAACAGGTCTCACCTGACAAGTCAGATGGAGAGGACTGGTGGAGGTGAGGTCCTAAAAGGCAGGGCACAGCTTCAGGAAAGTCATCAGTCAATTCCTGTAGGATTTTACTGCAGATAAAGCAGTTTGCAAGAAATCTAAAAATGGGACTCCAGAAAAGTGGTTAAAATGTCTTTTCTGTGGTCAGGCTTTGGTTTTACACCAGCCATTAAACCTGGGACTAGTCATACAGGAAATAGTTATTGAAAATGGGCTAGGAAATGGTTAGTGTTAAAGCCATGCCTTTCAGTAAGGAAGACTTTGAAGACAAATTTAAACCTGCAACTTTTCCAGGCTATAGCTATTCTGCTCTGTGTAGGTCATTCTGAGCAAGCCCATGTCCTGATTTTGACAATGGAGGCAATAACACATCATGTAAGTAGAACACTGACTAGTCCACTACCTAAGCATGCTAAGTGGGAGGCTTCAGTCTAAATATGAGGGCTACCTTTCCATCCTTCCACATGTATGGGAAGCCATGCAATACTTGTCTTGAAATCTTTCAACTCTTTATTTTTTCTCTTGCAGGTTTTATGACAAGAAATATCGAGTATTCCTGAAGCTGGTTGAACACCAGAAAGAGTACGCGGCAATCATGCATGGGGACTGAACAATGCATTGGCTGCACTGGGTACCTCCATCATTTCATTTCTTACTGAGGCCCTTTTGATATCATATCATGATTTCTGCATTGTATGCCAATAAAGAAAACTACATATGCAAACAGCACTGGAGTCTTCCATTTAAAAATAGTACAGCTTATTGGCAGTTTCTGCATAGATTCCTTCTTGGTGCCAGAAATTTCACATAAAGTCACGGGGTCCTCTATGGGACTCAACCTTGGACATCACTTGATGCGGAAGTAATTGTGCATGCTAATTGATTCAGTGTTGGCTGCTAAATGAAAGCAAGAGTATTCCATTGCTTTGAATAGAATTTCTAACGTTTATTCCCTGTCCTTTGTGACATTTTTCCAAATTAGGATCACCTCTGGGGTTGTATTTTGCACTTAATTGTACAATCATTATTTTTTAATCATTATATTAAAGATAGGTATAGGTAGGAACCATCAGTGGATCCAGGAGGAAATTTCGACGAATAACAGGATGCATGCGTGGTCTTAAAATGTCTCTTCCCAGACTGTTTATTAGTTGCAAGAGTAAAAAGAATGTTAGCTATACAGGGAAGAAATAGGACAAGCTCTTGGGTGACCAAAATTAACTTCAGATGGGTAAATGGACATGATGTGCTTCCAGATGTGATGGCCTGACAAGGGAAGAACATCTCCCTGGCTGGGAACTCAGAGTCTGAATCCAATCATGAGGAAACATCAGACAAACCCCAAATGAGGAGCATTCTCCAGCTTTAATAGACTATATTATTCAAAAATGCCTGTGTCATAAAGACAAAGAGGCTGTAGGTTTCCAGATTAAAGGAAATGTAAGAAATGTGATGGCTCAGTGCCTTTGATCTGGGCATGTTGATACCACACAGGCAGATACACACACATGTTGGTACATAGTCACCCACACCCACACATCATCTTGAACCCAAAAGTAACTGCTAAAATGGCTTGTAGGGCTGTCATAGCTCAGATGAGTTGGGGTAGAGGGAACACTGAGACTTGAGCAATGTAGAACAGAAAGTAGGAAGAAAAAAAAAACAGTACAATTCTGTCAACAAACTTTTTTTTGTAAGACTTACACTGTGCCAGGCACGTGGCTAAGCACTGGGGTACAGGAATGAATAAAACGTAGTCTCTTCCCTCAGGGAGTTACTGCTGTGAGAAATGCAGACAAGGGAGTCAGTCACAATACATCGTGAGAAGGGGCTGCCAAAACACCTGCTCCATGGGGTGCATCTGCGATCAAGTGGGGGAGAAGGGAAGGGCCAGCAGTGGAGTGAAAAGCCATGTGATATAACAACTGTAAGCCTTGGCTTGGGATAACGCTTCACCTCTTGCTCACTAGCTGTGTGACTTGGAGAAAGGTTCTTAACTTAACAAAATCTCAATTTCCTCATCTTTAAATGAAGATGCTAATAAGCCCTGGTTTATGAGATTGTAATAAGGCTTAAATGAGACAATACATACAAAGCACTTAGCTCAGTTGCCTGGTCCAAGTTTGTCTTATTACAGGCTTGTCTCCTAGAAGATGCTCAAAATACTAACAGTAAACATCACGTAGGAATACAGAAGGCTGAGGCCTGGCCCATGGTGAAGATAGGTATAGGTGTGTCTGATGCAGCCGAACTAGCACAGAAGAAACCCCAGTTCATTCATAGCTGAAGAAAGCTGATTGGGCAGTGCCCTGGAGCTATAATCAAGGCAAGATGTCAAGACCAATGTCAAATGCACTCAAGGAGCCAAAGCTGATCAGCACTGAGTCAGAAGGAGGACAGGTCTGGACCTGCTCACGGAAAGCACTAGGGAGTGCAGTGGCTGTGTGAGTTAGAAAAGATGGAGATACAAACATAAAGAACTGCCACAATTTCAGCAAGTCCTCCCTGTGTGTGCTCTCTCCAGTATTGACAACGCTGTGAGGTTGGCAGCACCAACCACACATTGCAGTTGAGAAAGCTAAGGCTCCAGAGTCTCTGAGGTGCTAGTGGAGAAGGGACTGAAACCCAGCTGTGCTTGAGTGTGAATCCTGGATTGTCATCCTGCAGCCACAGCTGGAGAAGAATCCCTGCTGTCACTTAGTGACAGGACTCCTGCTGGAAATTCCCTTGGGCAAGTTGTATCCACACCACACCTGACCTTGAGTTATCTCTGATTTATAGGAAAAAAACATAAAACATACACATGAATGAGGCAAGGGCCATGGCAATACTAAGATATTTTGGCATCCTGTCACCTGTGAAGATCCTTAACCTCCATTTCTCAGTCTTGCTTTGACAATGGACTTAACCTGCTATCTTCCTGTTAGGGTTGTTGGTAAGGACTTAGTGAAAGAACTATGTGAAAGGCCCCTAGATCAGTACCTTGCAAATTATAATAGGCACACAACACATATTGCTACATGGCTCTTTTTGTGCTTCCTGGCCAGGTGGCTAATCTTTAAGAAAATCTGACTCTGTCCAAGCAGTGTTTTAAGAACAATATAAACTCTGTATATTTTTATATGCCCAAGCATATAGCTCAATAATAAAAACCTGCAATGACTCAAAGTCCTTCCTTCTTGCACTACAAAAGAGGGTTTATTTAATGCACCCACATAAAGTATATTTAACTTTTATGAATACGAATTACAGTGTGGCCAGCATGGTTTGTGGGATTTTTGTCTAATTGCCTACTAGAGCTTTCCTTTTAAGTTGAATCCAGCATTGCTTCGCAGATCAGTTTGCCAAGGAATACTCTACTGGTTTTTAGATTTCTAAGCAAAATGCTTCCCAAATGTGAAGAGCATAAATGTAGCTTTCACAAGAATCAAAGACAATGCAGGGGAAGAGAGGTGGGAAGGAGAAGGCAAGCTGCAGTGATGTGACATCTCACTGGGCTACAGTGAATGACAAGCCTGAATTGGACATCGATGAGAGATGCAGTCCTGGAGAGCCCAAGGCTGGGTAGTTGGTTTTTATATTCAGAAGACAGTCCAGATTCCTGCCAGTTGAATTGATGCATGCAGTTCCAAGGAGAGCAATAGAGATATTGTGAGACATCTCTGGAGACTCCCAACTTTGAGGAGGTACCAGATCAGCAGGGAAGAGTAATGGACTGGAAAATGTAGGTTTTAATGATGACTTGATCTGCCATTTCTCATTAACCTGAAGATAATCACATTATTCTGATTTATTTATCTGTCCTCTAACCACTGGCCTGTGAGCTCTTGGAAGGCACAACAAATTCCCTTAAGACCTGTGTTTTTCATATGCATGCAGGTCTTTGCACATAAAAGATGCTCATTCATCAACAACAAAAAATATAAGCTAAGATATAATTCTGCAAAAAGAAGATAGCTGGATTTTTAAAAAACATCTTTTGGCGTAGCAAGTAAAGCCACCACCTGTGGCAGGGCATTCCATAACGGCACAGGTTTGATTCCCAACTATTCTACTTCTGCACCCACTCTGCTAATGAGCCTAGGAAGGCAGTGGTGACGGCTAAGTGCTTGACTCCCCTCACTCACCAAGGAGCCTCAGCTAAGACCGGACGAGCTTCAGTGGTTGCAGCCATTTGGGAAGGAACAGACAGATGGAAGATCTCTGTCTCTATTCCTCTTTTTCTCTCTGTCCCTTTCTCTGTCTCCATCCCTACCTCTTCCTCCCCCTCTTTATGTAACTCTGACTTTAACATAAATAAATAAATCTTTTTTAAAAAATATCAATCACCTCTCAGTTTCTGGTCAATCTGTGTGGTATGTGTTAATAACCTTTAAAGTAAGCACTGTTTTGGAATAAAAGAAAACCATGCCTTATGCCTAATGTTGTATTTAGATTTTATCTGCACACTCATACATAGCCACAGAACTTCATGTTAAGCTGTAGCTCCAGCTCAGAAGTCTTTTGCAAACTTTTGGTGTTGTTACAGGCCATTTCCTGCATGATAGCTTATGGGAAGCCAGTTACATTGAATCCAGAAATGCCAAGAATTGCAGCACATATACTTTCAGGAATCAGAAGATAGTTATAATTACCACCACAGAATTTAAAATGCAGGACAATGTCAATAAACCAGAAACCAATGACTTAGCAGAGCTGTGTAATGTAATTAAACTTAACATGGGACTTCTGATGAATTACAGAAGAATCTTTGTGCTGTCTCATATCTCCATACATACACTTAACCGCTGTGGACAGTAATAGGAGAGAGATTTGAATCTAAAATTGCCTTTTTTATAATAATTTCTAGAGGAAGTTAAAAAGAAAAAAAAATTTATATTTTTAAAAAGATGTCTTGGGCCCGGCACGATGGCGCAGTGGTTAAGGTCCTCACCTTGCACGCCCAGGATCCCATATGGGCGCCGGTTCTAATCCCGGCAGCCCCGCTTCCCTTCCAGCTCCCTGCCTGTGGCCTGGGAAAGCAGTCGAGGACCTCCCAAAGCTTTGGGAACCTGCACCCGCGTGGGAGACCCAGAAGAGGCTCCTGGCTTCGGATCGGCATAGTATCGGCCATTGCGCTCACTTGGGGAGTGAATCATCGGACAGAAGATCTTTCTCTCTGTATATCTGCCTTTCCAATAAAAATTAAAAATAAATCTTTAAAAGAAAAAAGATGTCTTGCTGATATTGCTGACTTGTTGATAATTGTAATAACAAATAAAATTTGTAACACAAAGATAATAAATAATAACAAATTAATCTTGTATATTCACATTTCATAACTTCAACTCATGCATTCATGCTGTGGTCAATTTTGATTAGATACAGAAAATCATTAGAAATTCCACATTACCATAAATATTTCTAAAGCTCTAATTTTTATTTGCTTAAGTCATGCCTTAAATCTTGATTGGGGGGCCCGGCAGCGTGGCCAAGCGGCTAAGGTCCTCGCCTTAAACATGCCAAGATCCCATATGGGCGCCGGTTCTAATCCTGGCAGCTACACTTCCAGTCCAGCTCCCTGCTTGTGGCCTGGGAAAGCAGTCAAGGACAGTGCAAAGCTTTGGGACCCTGCACCCGCGTAGGAGACCCGGAAGAAGTTCCTGGCTGCTGGCCTCGGATTGGCATAGCATTGGCCATTGCGCTCACTTGGGGAGTGAATCATCTGATGGAAGATCTT